TCCAGTGAAATATATTTATGTTTGTGGTTGTAATGTGACAAAATATGGAAAAGTTCAAGGGGTATGAATACTTTTGCAAACCACTGTATATGGATAGTATTTATTTTTTACAATAACAAGCTGGAATGAAAACAAGCAAAAATGAAATAAAAGTAACAACTTTTTTACTTCTTGCCTTTTTTAAAAATGTAAGGAGTAGAAAGTACAGATAATTGTGAAATGTAAGAAGTAGAAGGGAAAAGTAGGCTGAAAACTAACTACTCAAGTAAAGTACAGATACCCAAAATTTCTACTGAAGTACAGTAACAAAGTATTTGTTCTTAGTTACTTTACAACTCTGCTGTCATTTCTGCTGCACCACACTGACACTGGAGTTGGAGTTTTACTTTTCACTGAGGTGCAATGGTGACAATTTTTACCACTGGAAAGAGCGTTTTAAAAATAACACAATGGAAATAAGGCCTTGAACACATCTGAACAATTTTGCTGAAATCTATTGTTTTATAAGCTGTTTATGCTTAAACAGCAAAGGCTGCCCATCGTTCCCCATGAGGTTCATGCTGCACATTTTAATACGGCACACTGACAAAAGCAGCTTTTCCTTTTTATCAAACTGTTTCAAAAATGATCAATATTAACATTAACATCATTCTGCTTTCATTAAAGATTGATAATTAGCACAGGAGTACTCCAGTGTCAGTGTGGTGCAGCAGAAATGACAGCAGAGTTGTAAAGTAACTAAGAACAAATACTTTGTTACTGTACTTAAGTAGAAATTTTGGGTATTTTGGGTATAGTGGAGATGGGCAGCCTTTGCTGTTTAAGCATAAACAGCTTATAAAACAATAGATTTCAGCAAAATTGTTCAGATGTGTTCAAGGCCTTATTTCCATTGTGTTATTTTTAAAACGCTCTTTCCAGTGGTATAAATTGTCACCATTGCACCTCAGTGAAAAGTAATCAAAGTGCCTCTTTCCCGTCATAATGAATCGTGCTGCAGAGTTCAGGGATCAGTCTGAAGCCTTTTCATCACTAAGTGCCACTCAGCGTTTTACCCAACAATTACAGCAGATCAACCAGCTGTGGCCCAGCTGGAGTTTCACAATAAGCGTCTGCAGGTCCGGAGATGACCTGAGCACCTTGTTCACTGATACTCTGACAAAGAACTTATGAAGCAACGAACCACCAGCTTCAGACCAGGATGGATTTATTTTATCACATGTTGTGTTTCCGTGATGCATTTGGAAACTAGGCTCGTTTTCTGATTGGCTCAGTTTTTTTGTGGTGGGATAAATAATTCCTTAAAATGCATACCATCTGGCTTTTGCTGCCAAAGTTGGGGCCAAAATCCATTAAGTTGATCATGAGATATTTTGAATCCATTATTTTAAATAGAGATCTTGTTAGCATGTAGAATGGTCGGTGATCAGTTTCATCCCAGCTTTAAGTCAATAATGCTGCTGAAATTTGTTTTATAGCAACTATCATTTTTTCTCACACTGTTTTTTAAACAAACAATAGGAACAGTTGTCTAAAACCAACTGAAACAAAAAAAAAACAGTGAGAAAAGATGATTTATTGGAGTTTCACAGTTTCAGAAAGCCAAGCTGTTTCCTGGAAACAGCTTCAGTTCTGTGTAATGACAGTCTCTGTGTCAGCAGCACAGATGTGCCTCCTGTCTGGTGTCAGTGCACCGAAATAATTACACAGACTCGCAATTAAAAACAAACAATAAAAACTTTTCTTTTCTTCCTTGTTTCTCTGTGCAGATACACATCAGTTGGGACAGTAAAAGCTGATAAAATAAACCTTTTCTTTTTGTAAAATATCATTTAGATCCTTTTGGGTTTTATTATAATCTTATTCTTGTATTTAGTAGCCTATTTGATTGTGATGAATCTCCACTAAATCCATTAAAAAGCAGCTGTGTTTTGGGCGTTACCATACAGTACACTATAAAGTGTACTAAGTATATTTAAAGTTGTTACATTTTAGTATTTAAAAGTATACTTAATACACTTAAAATTGTGCTTTTGTACAACTTAAATACAAGTAAAGTATATTTAGTATTAAATTAGTTGTTCCAAAATAGCACTCTTTAAGTACACTTATTAGTGCGGCTTCAAGTATACTAAAGTATACTTAGATTTAGTATATTTAGTATAATGTTTTTTCACCTGGGCACATACTGTACTAACATGATATAAAGGTTATTGAATGTCTGAGTTAAGATGGAAAAGAAGCCCCTGACCAAATTCTCTGGAAAAAAAAAAGAGAATAACAGGAAATGACATTTAGGCCAGTTTAAAAATATTGTGTTATTTTGAACTCTGGACAAAAGGCATCCCTTAATTGTAATAATCCATGTTTGATTTCACTCTAATCAAAGAAAAAAAAAACAAATTGATGCGTTTTATTTCAAAAGGTTGATCTTAAGGTAAATAAAGGCAGATTACTGTGTTTGTTGGGGGGAAAACAACAATAAATCTTATGTAATTTGATTGTGTGGTAGATTTCTCCGACTCATTTGGATAATTGGGCTCCACTCTGCCTACAAATAATGCTTTTTCCTCACATGAGCCAGAAGAAGTTTTGTCTCCGATCGCTGAACCAAATCTACAAAAGTATTTAAGCGTGGGGATGTTCACATCACTCATTTTACCTTCCACAGGTCCCCCAGGACGAGTGGAGCGGGTACCCTGGGGAGAAAGACGAGGAGATCCCCTGTCGGCGCATGAGGAGCAGCAGCTACGTCAAAGCCATGGGAGAGCTGGAGGATGAAAGCGGCGACTCGGACACCAGTCCCAAGATTTCTCCACAGAAGGCCATTCGACCAGACGCACTCGTCCTCAAATCAGCCATGCAGAGACCCCATTTAGATTCCCACAGGTATTCCCACGGCTCACTGTGTACTTCTAGTGTTTCAGTCTAGGAGTTTCAAAACAGAAAATCATCCTGACAGATGGCGGTAAATGGCTAATAGACTCTGTAATCTAAAATGTAGTTGAGTTAAAAGTTTCATGTAATCATAGTGGCAGGACTAAAGTAGTGTTGAGTAGATGATTACCGTTTCCAGCTGAGATGCTTTTCAAAATAAAACAAAATACTCTGAATGTTTGCATTCAGTTCTTTTAAATACAAAAAAAAGACTTAATATGTAAATAAAAACTGCAGCCAGTTCAAATGTATAATGTAGATTGATAGGGGTAGTCTGGTCGTTTTCGAAGCGATGTTCTCAGTAACAGTTTGGAGAAAAGGGCAGAAGTATTCATCCAGGCTAGGCTAATGGCTACGCTAACAAGTTCAGGCTCGTAAAACTTTCCCACAAATGACATAAAGTTATGTGAGAACACTACGTTAGCTAAAACGTAGCAACACAAATGATTGGAGTTCCTAGCATCCACTTTGTTCACAGTACAGGTTATATAATAGATCATAGTTTATGCAACAGGAGAAAGAATAATGTGCAAAAATCTAAAGCGGGACTGTCCGCTTTTATAAAAGTTTTAGGATTAAAATTTTTGGGAGTTTTTCATAGATTTTCTAATTAGCAGTTAGTTCGATTCACCCATAAAAATGTCACCTTAACTCATCAACGAGATAAAATCATTGCTATCTACTGCAGGTGAGATACTGATGAATTATAAACTCTTGTTGGTGGTAATGCAACCTTTTATGTACCTAGGTGCTTACCTGCAACATACTGGGTACTAACTTGGTTGTAATAAACAAAAAAAAAGATGTTATTTCAAATGTAAGCAAAAATATTTTCTCTAATTCTACTTTCATATAAGTGAGGTCCTCAGTTTGTTCGTATTATATGATTTCCAGGGTAGGGTTACCTCATCTCTGCATCAAAGCTTTTGCTTACCTAACTTGTTTTTATGACGTCAGTCTGTTGATGTTTATTTTCAGGCATTTTGTCACGATTTTATTGAAGCCAAATTGTGTGAACCCAAAGAGGCAGCAGTCATTCTCTGTGCCTCTGAGTGCTTCAGCGGCAGTTTTTTGTTGCCATCATCTCCGTGGGGTTCTGATCTCTCCTGCTTTTGTCTACTAATAAAACAAAAACAAAGCCGTGCTGGTTTTCATGCACTGCTGGAGAATGTAATAATTTCCTATTATTGTAGCTTCAAGCTCTCATTATTTCACGGCACAAGAAGTAAAAGCGAAGCTTGCGCACGTGTGCGCCGCGGGTTCGAGACATGTAAAGCCAGAACTCAGGCTGCTCAGATAGTTCACGTTTCAGTTAGCGTCCAGGAGATGAGTCATTAAAACAACTTCTATTTTACTCTCCCCCCCCACCCNCCACCCACCCACCTGTACTTGTTCAGCCAGGGTTACCACTTGCAAAGCAGAGATTTGCGGCCCCACCCGAGTGTCACGCTGGATCCCGCCACCTCCTTCCACCCGCCTCCTTTCCGCTCCCGCAACCAGAGCTACATGCGCGCTGTCAGCACGCTCAGTCAGGCAAGCTGCCTCAGCCAGGTGAGTGTCGAACAGCCGGCACACGGAAACAACACGTCAAGACAAACTGCTTGGGTTAGGGGTTTGTTTGCATCGACGTTAAGCCTTACAGATCATTGCTGTACTGTACACACACACACACACACACACACACACACACACACACACACACACACACACACGTTTTTAACCACTGTTATTGAAATATGACATGTAGCACTGTTGCAAACTGTCAGTTTTCACATAGCCTGCAGCCATATACAACATGAGCACGCCAGATTTTCTAACTTTTAAAAACTCGTGACCTTTTTTTAAATGTCCCAAGTGCCAAAAAGGCTTTAAAATAATGTGAAAATACAGTAGTTTGCCTCGGTCAGGTTTTAGGACTAAACGGTGCCCGACCGGTGACACTGAAAAGAAAATTAGCTTGTGGCCACAAAATAATGTGTAGCCACGAGATAATTGATTAAACGTGACCCATCACGTCGAAACAAGGATTAAATCTTGAGTGGTTTGTGCAGAAATAGGCAGGTATGTTTAATTAAAATGCTTGCAATAAGTGAATTTTGTCAAAATATAATCAATAAATATGAAGAAATTGCCATAAGCAATAAAGCTTCGCTCAGAATCCAGTACTGGGGTTGTACGGTCATTTCACATTTTAATCTATTCAACATTCATGGGTTTTATACCTGGTTTTGTCACGATTTCGGTAAATGAACACTAAATTTTCTTACAAATACTTTATTATTGTCTGAAATATAATCCTAAAAACTTCTTTGATGCACTTTTTTTGAGCAGTACCAACAAAAAAATCTGATTTTTCGTAAAATGGCATGGCCATATGAGATTGTTATTATGACCTCCACACGCGAAGCGGGGGTCATATTGTTTTCATACTGTTTCTTTTTTTTCTTCTTCTTTTTATTTTTTCAGTGATTTTTTTTGTTCAACCGTAGCAAGGAAACAGCTGCACCAATGAACATGAAGTTTGTCAGGAATGCGTCCAACGTACACCATGCCAACCTTTTTACAATAGACCCCATATTTAAGGAGGGGGCCCCATCTAAAAAGTGGGTGTCTGGGCATACAAAAAAATGCTTATAACTCAAACTATTCAACATAGAAGCTTCAGATTTTATTTATTTTTTATTTTTGTTAAGCTCTGATGAAGGGCTATTCATCGGCTATTCATTCAATGAGCCCCGCCCCCTACACCCCCCGGACCCCTATCCAAAACAATAAACCTGTTCTGAGTCCTGGTGCATTGATGCTTTGCATACATGTACATATATGCTGCTCTAGTTTATCTAGAATCTAGTTTATTTTATAGTGTGGAATCTTAAAGTATTTTTACAGTCTTTATTTTACAGTTAAAATATATGTTTATTAAATAAAGTCTAATGTTACAACTAATCGGGGATCCCTTTAAAATGTTGTTCAAGTCAAACATTAAACGATAGTCAACAGCAGGTATGAGAAAAACTGACCCATTCATTATTAACCAATGGGTTGTATAATTTTTTAACTTAAACATATGAACATACAATGAAATGAAATAAAAAATAAATAAAATAGAAGACCTTAAAAATATATATACTTTTAAAGTGTAAAATAATTCAGGGTCACTTAAGCTAATTATGCTGGATCAAACTGGGATGGACTGCTTATATCTGTGAATTTAAACGCAGGACAGTATAATCCCATACTTGAGTTTTTTTTGGCTAATATCAGACCAATATCTGATCCTTAGACATCCTCAGAAATGACTGATAATTATCTCAATAATTTATTTTTTTTATCCAGTGTCACCAGAAGGGCTCTGTAAGAGACTGAGCAGAATGAGTTAAAAAAAAAAAGGGGCAACTAAAGTCTAAAGACCTGAAGAAGTACTGAACAAGATCAATTTTAAAGTTCACAAGAAAGTGTGGCTCCTTGGGAAAAAATGTATAAAGATATTAGGAGCAGTTTAAAATTGCGCACATAATGCTTTAATTGACTCCAACATGTGACAGGAGAGAGTTCGCAGTTCTATTAACTCTGAAACATCATCACTGGTTTATTAGAAAATGCCAAATTAACTTATTCAAGACCAGCAACCTATTCTACCAGTTTTTCTTCAACTTAAAAACTAGATCTACACACACCAGTTTCCTGTCTCACTCTGCATTACACACTAACCTTTCCAGGTATTTCCCTCTTTAATACCCTGCTATGAATTCATGCAGTTGTGCAAGTCTGTTTTGGACCTCAGCGCTGGCACAAGATGTGGTTTCTGCAGTGAGAAGATCTGTGACAGAAGCTTCTGTGTGGAGGAGTAACAGGAGGAGAGAAATGGGTCAAAAGAAGGGGTCGTACAGTCGGCCAGCTTCACGCCTGTGGGTTTTAATTTCAGAACTGAAAATATTTATCTAAAAAAAAGAAAATCTGAATCTTTGCAAGCTAAGCACAATAGGGCAGAATTATATTTTTAGCAAAGTAATCTGCTTCAAAAATAATTATTTTATGGGTTCAGAATTAAAAATGCAGTCATAAGTTTTTATCCACTCATCCTGAGCATGAAAACTGCTTTGTTTTCTGTTTTTGTGTTTCAATTCTAATTTGCTGCAAAATATTTGTTTTTGTGTAGTTTTTTTATTTTTATTTTTTTAGAAAAGTCCACAATATTATTGTATTTTAAGGATACATTTACAGCTACGGTGAATAATTTTGTACCTGCAGATTAGAGAAAATCCACAATAAATTCAAACCCATCTAGCCACTATCTTCCACCTTATCCAAAGTCAGGTCTCGGGGGCAGCAGCTTGACCAGGGAAGCCCAGACCCTTCCTTGCCCAGATACCTCTTCCATCTCTGGGAGGACTCCAAGGTGTTCCCAGGCCAGCTGAGAAACATAGTCACTCCAGTGTGTCCTGGGTCTTCCTCTGGGCCTCCTCCCAGTGGGACGTGTCCAGAACACCTCACCAGGGAGGAGTCCAGAAGGCATTCTAATCAGATGAACCACCTCAACTGGCTCCTCTCCACGTGGAGGAGCAGCGGCTCTACTCTGAGTCCCTCCTGGATGACTGAGCTTCTCAGCCTGTCTCTAAGGGAGAGCCCAGCCACCCTGCAGATGAAACTGCTTGGATCTGTGATCTCCTTCTTTCAGTCAAAGCTCGTGACCACAGATGAGGGTAGGAACATAGACCAACTGGTAAATCGAGAGCTTCACCATGACAGACCAGTACAGAGTCCATAAAACTGCAGAGGCTGCACCGATCCGTCTGTCAATCTCCCGCTCCATTCTTCCCTCCCTCATGAACAAGACCCTGAGATACTTAAAGAGGCAATATCATGTAAAATCCACTTTTTTGAATTTTATATCATGTTATAATGTTATACTCTCATAACAAACATGACCAAAGCCTTGCTCTGATTCATTCATGCATATTTGAGAAATCCTGCAGCGTTTTTAAGAAGCCGTGCTGAGGAGCAAAACGACAGGTGGGGACCAGAAACACCTCTGGGACGTGTCTTTAAGCCAAACTTCCTCATGGCAGAGCGCACCCCCTCACCCCTCCCTCCCCACCTACCCTGCCCATGACTCTGCAGGCTCCCGGGTGAAAGCGAAAGTGAAACTTAGCTGTCTGCTAAAC